AAATGCAGACCCTCCTTATACTCTAGAACCAAATCCACAAAATTTTCAACTTCTTTCAATAATTGAGAAAATAGACCGCTACTAAAAATCAACATTGACTTCATAGGAACACCTATAAATCAACAAAAAGAAAACACACAAAAAACTTCATCAAGATAACTGACGCAATGTTAATAACATCCCAAAAAAATATATGGTAGGTACATAATGTGATGCATACATGTACATACACACACATATATATATATTAGTAAATCTTATATATACTAACAGTATATACATTAATGACACACATGTAAAAAGTTGAATTTCAAATTCAAATTTTACATGAAAAGATTAATCCAACAGACAAATTAATGCAATATGTTACATTTTGGTACCAAAAACGATGACTGGTTAGAGTTTCCAATGTCAATTTTTAATGTTCAATAAAGAGACTAGCCGTTAACTTGGTCCTTAATGTGATGCAGGAATCTATGTTCTACAAAGTGTTAAATTTTGCAAATTATTTTGTTCACCGCATTCTCATTGTGTTTACCTTCGATGGACGGAACCTCCGTCCATATGATTAGAACTGCAAACAAATCGAATCGAGTCGAGCTTTGGTCTAATCGAGTCAAGTTTTAACTTAGTTTTATCGAACTCGAACTCAAGCTCGAGTTTGAGCTCAATGAGCTGACAATTTTGAAATTTGAGCTCGAGCTGACTGGAACTGGAACTCAAAAAAAAATAATTATTTTATTTTTTAAAAAATAAATAAAATAATATTTTTTTCTTAATAAATAATAAAATATTAAAGATATATATATATAATTTTACTATTAAAATAAAAAATAATATATATATATACACACACACACTTGAGCTCGCGAGCCGGCTTGCTAGCTAACGAGTTTAATATTTTGAGATCAAGTTCGAGCTCAAGTTCAACTCGACCAGGTCAAGCTCGATTCAAACTTGACTTGAGCTGCTCACGAGTGGATCGATTCGTTTGCACCTCTACATCCGATGCCCAAAATGGTAAGCTTAGAACTCCAAGCACAGTCCATGCTTGCATTGCAGCATCAAATTCATGAAAAATTGTATAGATTGAATCAGACCCTTGCATCAGTTTTACAATTTAGCAAGAATGTCATAATACTAAATATGATTTTACTCTTAAAAAATGAAGGTGATAATATATGACATAATAATGTTAATGTAAAACAACTACATGAAGAGTTTGTCACAGTCAAATCACAAATAAGGCTAGAATTGCTTGACTTTTAGCTCATTGAACACATTAAAGCTTCTAAAGACTAACAAAAGCTAGTAATGTAAAAGTAATATACAGCAGATTAAAACATGAAAAAGAAAAGCATATGAAAACTGATAATAAACCTTGAAATAAACACCTGCATTTAACACTTTCTTTTTGAAACCTTAGAAATCAATTCACCCGAATGTAGTTATTCTCAATGATATGCTATAATTACCAAATGCATGAACATATATATGGGATAATTTCAGAAACCTCCCTTGAGGTTTCTAACAATTGCACTCGACTCCCCTCAGGTTTAAGAAATTACACTTACCTTCCTTGACATAGTAAAATATCTATAATGCCCTCCACTAAGTAGACAATTTTAAATCTAAGGCAATAAATTTACAAAACTTAAAAAAAATCTATTTTTCTATCTCTTGTCTATTTTCTAGCTAATATAACCTCTTTTTATTATCTCCAGTTTTGTGGATATTAGTAAATTGAAATTAGAAAATTTACAAAAGAGGTAGATTATGTGTCAAACTAGAAGGAAATGAAAAGGCTCACAGCGATAGAGAAATAAATAATGAAATTGATGATTGAAATAAGAAGAAGAACCAAACATGTGGAATTTGACATATTTTGTTTATTATTAAGCAAAACTTTTATAAAATGTCAATAATTACATAATGATTTTTTTCATTGGATTAGAAATTTTTTATTATAATTTTATTGTGGAGGTAGAATTTATTCTCAACTTTTGAGATATTAATATTTTTAAAACCATAGGAGAATTGTAATGGTGGTTCTAGGTCAAATTAACTTATATTGAAAAGATATTTGAGCATTGATATTTAATTTGGGGGTATAAAATTGGTTGTCAATGTGGTTTTGTGTTTTTTTTATCGTGAAAAATATTGATATTGTATATACTATTTGGGATATTTTGGATGATTACTTGATTTTAGAACTTATGTTTCGATGGTTGTTAGAGATTTAGCTTGTTGATTTATATAAATGTGGAAGAAAATGATTGAGTATACTATTTTTCTTTCTTAGTTTTGTACAAAAGGGCAATTTAGGATTTTTGAGAGAAAATCTAAGTTCTTAGACCTACATTGTTACTAAACAATAAAATTAGGGGAGATATATGTAATTTTTAAAACCTGAAGGAAGCTCTTTGTAATTGTGAGAAACCTCAGGGGAGGTTTGTCAAATTATCCCCATATATATACACACTTCTTCTCCATTTTACGTTGTCACGCAACAAGATGAGATCCTCCACATTACTTTTCTCTCCATTTATCTCTTTAATTTTTTATATGAAAGTTGATCCAACAGCAAAATTTATTCAATTCAATTTCAATTTTTGTACATACTTTAAACGGGTGGAGAAATATAATGTAGATGGTTTTGATTTTCAAAATATTGTTATAATGGTGATTATTTAGGTATAATGCACAGAAAAGAAAATCCTCTCCAATTAATGGAGAGAACTTAACCTATCAACCCACTACTCATCTTTCATTCATAATTTTGTACCTCTCATTTTATTTTATTGTTTTTTATATACATTCACCTAATTATATATCTTGAATCTGCGGAATGGCTAATAGCTTTCTATAAAAGGTGGAAAGTAAAAGGTCGGAACTCTGTAACAAAAATACTGTTTATGAAGCCCAAATCCAAGGTGCTAAAGTAATTTAAGGTTAAAAAAACACCTAATTAACTCTTGAACTTTACTGATCTTGTACTCTTAGCCCTCTAATCAATGTTTTGAAAATCGGACCGGACCGGCTGATTCGACCTGTTGAACCGCGAACCAGCCATGGCACCGGTCCGGTTCAATGGTATAGTTGACTTTGCCAGAAAACCGGTCAAAAATCGGTTGAATCGTGAAAACCGTCGAATCGGATTGAACCGGTGGTGTCCGGTTTTTAACTTTCCCTCCTTTTTTTTAAAAAAAATTTTGCAAAATGCAACTATCAAGATTCGAACTCAAGACCTTTGTAATAAAAGACCAATACTGTTGTACCATCACATCTTATTAGTTTTTTTTTGATAACTTATTTATATAAAGTAAACACTCATATTTCTTTTTTTCATTTTTCTTACAAAATTTCATCCTCTCATGACTCTTTCTTTTTAATTTTCAACTCTCTCTCTCTCTCTCTCTCTATCCTCTTTTCTTTTGTCACTTCCTTTTTAATCAAACCTCTTTATTTTTAATTTATTGATGTTTTCTTCCATCTTATAATTTTGTTTTTGTCCATTAAATTGAAAAAAGTTAAAAAAGAATTATTTTTTTAACCCAAATTATTTAATGCCACAACCACTCATTTTTATCTCATTTTTTGTTTCTTATCAAGATTACATTTCTATTTTCGACTTTCTTGACTTCCTTCGAACTCCAAATTTTCTTTTTTAAATTGCAATATCTAAATCCCAAAACGTAAATTAAAATTTAAGTTCACAATATCTAAATTCTCATGGACGTGAATTTTGTATAATTTCAAAATATTGTGATATTTTTGGGTTGGATTTAGATATAATTGAAATTGAGATGAAATTTATTTGTTTTAACTTATAATTTAAAAAATTTATTTTTTAAAATCCAAGTTATTAAAAAATAGTAAACTTTTCATCATATAAAGTATTAAATTAGTCCATTACATGTCTTATTTTGTACATACATATATATATATATATATATATATATATATATATATATATATATATATATATATATATATTATTTTTTAAAAAATCATTGAATCGAGGTTGAACCGGTCCGACCGATTGAATCTCGACCCTTTCACTTCACCGGTTCAATTAACGGTCCGATTTTTAAAACGTTGCCTCTAATCAATAACTGTATCCTTTGAGTCGATCTCTTCAAAGTGCAGCATATTTTAATTTTCCTTTTCTTTTTCCAAGTCCAATGATCTTCACTATACTATCCTCGGGCTAATGGCCATTGACCGAGAGTTGGTCCTCATTTTGCCGTTGCTAAATTTTGGACGTAGAGAGTTTAAGACTGGTAGGTTTTGAAGAAAATAGAGCAATCATCCATTCATTGAAATCTTTAATTGCAGTTTTAACCAGAGACAGAGGGAAATCATCCCACCAATGCCGTTTTACCTTCTACTTCTAATCCAAGAGAGAGTTTTGCTAGAATATGAGTTGGTGGCCTATTTCTTGTCCTACTCAAATGGGAGATCTTACATCAATGAAAGTTATCACATTAGTATCTTCGAACCTTATCTATCAAGTTGCCCGATTCATTGCTATTTTAATTTTTGAACGATATTGGTAGAGTCACTTTCGAATTCCTACTTCTTTGACCTACTCTAAACCCTACCTTGATGACAGCAAGAATTTCAGTAAAAGCCTTCATCTTTTGGTCGTGCAACTCCATTATTTCTCAAGTCGATTAAGTTCCTTAAATTTAGATGATATTTGAGAAGCAGAGGACAAATCCAAAAAAATTCCTTAAAAATTTGCAATTGCAGAGCCTCAAACTCTGTTTTAAAAATTAAAAGGTATCGCATAGTAGGATTAGTTTGCAAATTCAAGAACAAAATTCAAGAATTTCTGTGCAACTCAAATATAGATAGATCAATAACACAGTAGTTAAACAAACAAAGGTCACAGCTTTCCTAACTTATGTCACAAATCAAAACAAAATAAAGAATAATACAAAAAGAATCCAGAAATCAGAGGAGAGCCTTCCAGCCCCTGAGAAACAGAACTGCTCTTAAAAAATTCTCAATTTGCTTTTCTGTTGAATTCCTTCACGTGTGCAAAGAGGGCAAACATTCTTCTCCATTAACCACCTTTTGATGCAGTCGGCATGGTACTCATGCCTGCATTCTAGAGTTCCAATTGTCTCCCCATTCTCGTACTCGCACTGGCAAACTACGCAAATTTCAGGTTCTTGATCAGCAAGCGTTTGATAATTTCTGATTTCCAGGTGCTCTGAGATGGTTGCTTCTGTCAAGCCACTATTTTCACTATTCACGCCTTCTGGGACCGATTGTAGTAGGAACTCAACGATTGGGTCATCAGCAGGAATCCTGACGCTGGCAAGACTTCCATCCTCATTGACGAACTCCACATCCAGTGCACGTGCGGGACTTTCATCTTCTGATGCAAAGCTCCCAAGAGGGTAGTTCTCCTCTGCGTCCAAATCAAGTATGACAGTCTCGTCTTCCGGTGAGAAGCTCAAACGGTAGAGGAAGTCCGGTGTCTGATCAGACTCTCGAAGATGGCTCTGGGGCCATTGGAGGTTCTGCTCTTGATTAAGATAGTAATTGTCGTTCTGATCATAGTACATCGCTTCAGCAGGATGACCGTAGTAGTATTGCAGAGGGCTAGGAAGAAAAAAATCTCGATAATCATAACCTGGCTGAATGAATTGAGGATAAACTGGGAAGCCATAGGCTGATGGAACAGGGTAAAAAGGAGTCTGATCAGGCGGGGGGAAGAAAACACAGTGTCCGTCGTAAATTCCCATGCTTTCCTGAATCCTTTGCGGATAAGTTTGGTAGGGATGATAATGGTGATGAAGAGCAGGTGAATAGAACTGCTGCGGCTGCATCTTTCTTGGAGGGTTTTTTTTAAGAACGATGCTCTGGTATGAATAATGTGAAGCTAACGTTATGAACTCTGATTCTTATATAGGAATTGTAGAATCCACATCTGGTTAGGACATGGGATTTGATTTGGATTTTATCTGGAAAAGTTCGCTTAGGATTAGGAAAACAGGTTTTGGAAACTTTCCTTTTTTTTTTTTCTGATTGATTGCCGTCAAAGAAGGAAGAGAAGGTATAAATTGAACTCAATTTCAATGCTGATTGATAACATAACTAACGGCAAGACTTCTAAACCCAAGGAAAAACTAGGAGCAAAGTACTGAAACAAAATTAATAAAATCCATGCTTTTAATTGAGACTACATGCGCTCGCTGATGAGTTAATACAAATTGATGAATCGTTTTAAAGCAACCGATTATTTCACAAAAGCAAAACCAGCTCCACAAATACCAGACAAATTCTCTTAAAAGTGAAAACATCAGCATGCACACGAAAGCTGAATCCAATCTTAAACAGAACACAACAGGAGAACCACAACCGCGGTATCCCACTGCCTTCTGAAATCCTAGCACAGGCAGGTTCCACCAAGGGCTAAAGACAAAAGTAGACTCCCCCACCATAACTGACAAAGCGTCTTTAGTGCAAGTAGCGAATCTATAAGTCACCTCGGCCTTGACATGTATGGAGGAGCCATCATAAGCAGCTGATGCAGGATCAGCAGGTACGGACTCCAACAACTGTTGGAGTCTTGAGTAGTGTGGTGTTCTTTGCTGCGCTCCTGGGACCAATATAACAAACAACAGAAATGAGAACTTTACTGAAGAACATGCTACAGAACATCAGAGGCTGCAGCATGTACCTGCAGCACCCATGGACCATAAATAAGAGGTTTTTGCAACATCATCAGATGCTGCAATTGACATTGTAAAATGATGACAGAATCACCTAGGACAAAAGAAAAAAGAACAAGAGGTACAAGAAATAGGTTCTTTGTCACCTCTCTTTGACAATAATGCGGCCTACATTATCAGATGAGACCTAGAGGTACATAGTACCGTCAAGCATCATGCATCATGTAGAAACTCCAGTTTCACAAGATGCAAACTATCCACAGATGCCCAGTATCTCTAGCTGGGCTCTCTACATTGACTTGACTTCAGAACTATAAATAGATCTTGAAGCTTGTGCAACGACCAGAATTGTCATCAGAAATTATGAGATCTACCTCTTTCTTGATTTCCAGCAGCATTCCTGATATCCTCCAATGGTCTGTTAGTAGTAAAATCCAAATTGTATGCAGCATTCGTACTGTCATAGACGTTCCCCTGCAATTTCATGAATTTCAATAAGCAACACGTGAGATATTCATTAAAAACTGAAGGAAAAGCAGCAGGTTTCCAAGAAATTTTAATGTTGCCAAAGACTTACCATTGGGAAAATACTAGTGGAGTTTCCTTGTATGTCAGATGCATCGGGCAACACTAAAAGATGATGCAAGTCTGTCGGATGTTGCTCGTAACCAGGAATATTGTCACCATTCCAGGTATGGTTGCTAGTGTTGTATTCAGTGCATAAACTCCCAGCAAACACATGCTCAGATCCACTAGAATTGCTCGGTCTATATAAGCCACCAGTATGCATTTGTTCAGGTCCACAAGATTGAGCAGTGAAATTCAGTGGAGCATCAAGGTCATTAAGTTCTAAAAAGCCACTGTCATCTTGTAGACGCATGTTGTTTGTAGTATAGCCAATTTGATAATTATCAAACAAATTAAGTCCACCTCCATTGAGCTCAGCCAAGTTACTGAGGTCTTCTAGACCACTAAATAGATCACCTCCATCTGAATGAGGGATAGCTTCCGCAGCTCTTCCTTGACCAAGATCACCAAGCTTCTCATAGAGAAACGTAATACCAATCAGCAATTATTAATTACCTATTATATGCATCAAATTAATACAGCATCATCTCTATGTTAGAGCATTTTATATAAAAAATTTGCATTTTACCAATCACTATGCAATTTTGGAAAAAAAATTTACACTAGTAGGAACTTCATGATCCCTACAACAACATCCACAACCCAGAGAGACAGGGATGTCCTGTACACTTTAGTAAACACCAATGAAGTGCTTAAGCAGGAGATGCTCAGTAGTTTACAATGTAGCATTGAGATCATTTGAAAGTTGAATTGAAAAACAAATAAACCTAGAAGACTCTCTACCAATGTCATTACACCAACCACCTGGAATGCACAAAGGTAAGAGGCATAAAGCAAATCAGAAACATAGATGAGTGCTAATCATAGATGGCCACTAGGACTATATCAGCTATAATCTATCACTTGACATAGTCTATGACCCATTCAAATAATGATTAGACTCGAGGATTAAGATAAAAATAGCAACAGACAATTGAAAGCAACATGGATTAAGATGGAGTTTAATGTTTAGGTATAACAGTTATTCAACGGGCAGGATAAAATCTAGCATTTGAAACCTAAACTTAGTAACTTGTGTATTGGACCACCACAACCTTGAACCTCAGATTTGAGTTAAAAGCCAAATCCTAAGAAGCATGCGTAGACTCCAGACCTCTACAACCCGGACGACAAAAGAAGTAATAATGAACATCAATGACCTAAAGGCCAAAAAAAAAAGTAATAATGGACAAGAAAAAAATCCTTAGAATACCAGAATCACAAACTATATCTATACGAGCAGCACAAACGGCTTTCTCAATAGTACAAGATCAGATCTCTTTACTGGATGTAGACTACAATATTACAGTTCTCACAATTATTCTACATAACATTTGTCATTTATCAGCATAAATTGTCTTGGAAAACTACACAAACCAAACTTGGAGGTGACCTTTCTTTCAGTGACACTTTCTCTGCATGATTTAAAACCTAAGCATTCAAACCATTACCGAGAACATTCAGTTACAAGAAAATAAGAATGAGAAAGATATTATGATCCAAATTTTAAACATCCAAAATACATAATTGTAGGCCTATTGTTCTACCCCGCCCCCATCATCGTACATCATGCTTGCTAATAGTTTCTATCCTCCTGAATATTCTAATTTTCATTTATGATTACCCAACTAACATAGAGCCAAAACCTTGAAAACATGGAAAAATAGACAGTAAAAATGAAGAAACCTTTAAAATATATATGAATGGAAAAGGAAGATGTATATCCCCTACAGCTGAGAGTACATTCCCCTTGAAACATTTAAAACCACTTTGAGTTCCTTCTCAAACTTAGTAACACTAAACCATTCAGCCACCTCAACAACTGATCTACTTTTATAGATGGCATTTCAATAAGACACTATAAAGTATATTCTTTCACCAGTCCAGAATAAACAAACTCCAAAAATGATCAAACCAAAAATAAAAAAGGAGTTGTCAACATTTCAACTGTTATTTGCATTACATTTAATCAGGCGAAAGAAAGTGAGTCAAAAGTTATAACTAGCAATTCCACCTACACCAACGCATCCAATCCGACAGAGAAAGAAATAAAGATAACAAAATAAGGAAAAACACACCTATACACAATGAATAATCATACAAATAGCCATAGCTACACATGTCACACCATATCACGCTACATAAACATCAAGAAATCAGATGGTATTACATACCTCAGTATTTCCATTAACAGTGGGGAGCAAAGGGCTATCTTCTGAGAAAGCTGCAAGCAAATGAAGAATATCATCTGGTGGGTCCATGTCCATGCCATTACCAGAATGGCTAGCTGAGGTTAGACCAGCTTCACTTAAAGACCATCCAGATGCATTCCCAGTATCAACCACTCTTGTGACCATTGAACTATTCTGACCATTCGAGAGAACCGTATCTTTGGAAGGCTGAACAAAGGAAGGTCCAGGTTCATTTGGGGGCATTAGGGGTGCATTTCCAAGGTCAACCAAGCTAATGGCAGCAGAAGAGTTATCATTTTCAGGCTGCACAGGTTCTACAGTTGATGGGCCACCAGGTAACAAAGAGTCAACAGGAATCTCTTCATCATCATCCCAGTCCTCTTCTCTAAAAGGCGCTCCATACGATGCACCATTTTTAGGTCCTGGTCCACTCTTGTGGAAGAGTTTGCACAAAACATACGCATCCTGGAAGACATGGGAGTGAGACATCAACTTGAATCAGATGACAGATGTATACCCGCCAGCTAATAAGATTGATAATAAAAGACGACGAATATCTAATAACAAACATAAAAGGCAGTAAGCAAAAGAGTATATTTTTTAGTTGGGGGGATACTTTCTTAAAAGCTCCACTAGGACTCAGTCATAAACAAAATGAGGTTACATTAGTGATTCAAAATTCAGGTTCATTCAGTCAATTTGAAATATTTAAACAAACAAGAACCTTAAATTTGAACTTCATTGGCATGCAAAGATGCAAGTTGCAATGATCATTCCATCCCGTAGAAAAGGAAACAAAGAATAACAAAGAGATTAGAGTCAAAAATAATATTTAATATGGCCTCAATCAATATTAATAGAAGAATACAAGAAAGCAGGACAGCTATGTTTCTCAAATGAGCCAAAATTTAAAAATTAAGCTAACTTGAGTATAACCAGACCTGAGCATCCCCCATATCAGCCAAGTTCCTATCTTCAATCCTGTATTCATGTATCACCCAATCAGTTCTTTGCCCGCGTGGAGCACAGCCTTTGTGGAACACCAAGGTCTTAACCATTCCAACACTGTTCTTATTATAAGTAACAGGTCTATCCTTTCCTGTGGTCTTCCAGTATCCAGTTTCAGTTGAACGGTTCATTCTTGACCCGCTTGCATACTTCCTCTCTCTTGGGCAGAAGAAATACCATTCAAGATCCTTACTTTTCAAGCAAGATTTATCTGATAAAGAAATTCAAGTTACTGAGAAGTTTTTGTAGTTTATAGAAGTGACAAAGGATGGAAACAAAGAACAAATCTGAGCAGGTCCTGCTACTAACAAGACAGGTCACATGCAA